GTTCACAAACACATCCTCCAGGATGCACGGTGCGAGATCTGCAAGATGTATGACGAAAGCGCCGATCACATTTTCTCAGGCTGTTCCTTCGTTCGTAGTTTCTGGGAACGGATCGGATGGCGGCCGGAGGGGATTGCCAAGGTCGCTGAACTTTGGAAGACTCAGGTACCGCCCCATGTGCACGAGAAGGTGGCTCACCCTCTGATCTTGCTCTATTGCTGGGAGATTTGGCGCCACAGGAACGACGTCGTGTTCAGGGGGTTAGAACCCAGCACTGACAGGCTCATTGCCACCTGCAAGGAAGCAGCGGCGTCCTGGAGCTGCAGGATCCCGAGAAAGGACCTTGTGATCGCTAGTAACTGGCTGGAGATTTTTGTTTTCTATGTAATCTCATCCTCCCCCCAACTGCTGATCACTTGATGTAAAACCTTAAGGGCTTTGCCCCTCCACCCACCAGGTCACCGGCATCTGTGGAATGGAAATCAGGTGGGGATTTTTCGATCCCCGCCTCCCCCCCTTCCCCGAAGTTGACCTCAACAAAATATGGGAAACACTAAGAACTACTGAAGACCATGACAACGTCACTTATTCGTGATTGGAAGGAATTATACATGCTGTTACAATAAGCAATAAATGTTTATTTGAATGTGTTTTATGCACTCGCAACAGAAGAACAAGAAACAAAGAGAGCATTAAGAACAAAATAAAAAAATTGTAAGCTTACGTCTCTGCAGCCTGTCTTCCCTTCCCCAATGGAGCATCGAAGTATTTCTGTTCAAGTTTGTAAAGTCAGTAAACATTATGTATTTCAAATTCACAAGACTCCTAAAGCGTAATGCTACGTAAAAACAATGCCATGCATACCGAAAATGAGCACGCAACTGATGGAAGACATAATTCATGTAAAAACTAACACAAAGAGCCTTCGCACTCACGTCGATACAACTATGAAACAATTTGCCTGCCATCTGCTGTTAAACCTGCAAATGACAATAAATAAAAGTAATTTGTGAAAACAAACATAGTTCATAAAAAATGGCTAATGGAACATGAACCTTTGCAAGAAAAGAACATGTATCACCAAGAAAATTCAAAAGGAAAAAAATTCAATAGATACAACATCTTTAATCCTGCTCCTCTATTTATTCATCAATGGCATGATTTTGCATCAAAACCACTATCAATTTTGAGTCACTTGTAAAGGCATTACCAAGCCTGAGTGCCCGTGCACTGAATGGATCCTGCGGTTTGACCCTTCCAGCATTATCTTTGAGGTTAACCAGCTTCTCATCAACACCCTAAAGGACCAACCACCAAATCGGGATGCAGTCGTGACTTGGGCAACTCAAACAACTTTAGCACTGAACCGAAGGATTTTTTTTTTTTTTGAGAAAGCCAAATCTTACCAGGACAATGCCATATTTGCACTTCATCCCAACTACAGTCCTATTGACAAATACCAGGGCGTCACCAATAAGATTACATGGAATAGAAAATGGGGAACAAATAGCGAAATAGCTGAAGTTCGGGTTTGGATGCCCGGTTTCGCACGGCAGGAACGGAAAAGGGGTGTGGATGGGCGGTCGTCTCCGGCGAAGATGGAACCAAGGCCTGGCGAAGATCTGGGCACCTGCCGTCGGGCGTCGGCGTCGGCGTCGGCGCGGTCGCGCAGTTGCCGCACGAGAAAGGGAGCGCGCGCGCACGCGGGGGTGAAGGGGAGAAGACAGAGCTGATTGGTGAAGCGAGCGCCGGAGGGCACGGAGCGAGGGCGGCGCGTGATGGGACGCGGTGATGGAGGCCTTCCTTCTCACGGAGCGCTGATCGCGGGGAGTTTGCCGGAGGCGCGGGTCGGGGAGATTGCGGGGTATCGGGGAGCGACGCCAAGGCGCGGGATCGTCGCGCCAAGGAGAGGTGGGCACGGGATTCTAATTTCCGTTGCCGCGAATACGTTGGGAGAGGAGGAGGGGTTTGTGTTGTAACAGAGGAAGCAGCGAGATCAACAGAGATCACAAGTGTGATTACTGAGCATTAAGGCCGTGATCTCCACCACTAACACCCTGTGATCATGCGCGATCTGTAAATTTGGCAGGTGAACTTGCATTCCTCTAGATTATCTCCACATTTAACCCTCTCCTTCTTGTTTCTTGTATAAGTAGGCACCAAACCCCAGCTAATATAATAACTCCACACCAGTGCAAAGCGAAACGAGATTCATATGGACAAGGGATCGAGCTCCCGCACCGCGTCCATGGAGGTTGAGGGAATGGGGGTGAAGCAGGTGGAGGACGGAGAGGAGGAGGTACAGGCGCCGAGGAAGGAGGAGGAGGAAGCGTCGTCGGCGGCAAAGGAGCTCGACCTCCTCGGCGCGCTCGGCTCAGAACCGCCGGAGGCAAAGGCCGTGGAGACAGCGGCGCCGGGAAAAGGTAAGGAGAAGGCAATGGTGGCGGTGGCGGAGGAGGAGAAGACTCCGGCAAAGCGCTCGTTCAAGTGCAACTACTGCCAGCGTAAGTTCTACACCTCGCAGGCGCTGGGTGGCCACCAGAACGCGCACAAGCGCGAGCGCTCGCTCGCCAAGCGCGGCGCCGTCGCTGCGGTGGCGGGGCGCGGGCTGTACGGAGGCGCCACCGACCCCTTCCTGCCGCCGCACCACCTCCGCTTCGTCCAACACGCCTGGCCGTCGTACTCTACAGGCGGCGGCAGCAGGCCGTCGCCGTTCCTTGGGTTCGGACGGGGCTCTGCCGCGGCGCCGTTCTACGGCATGCACCACGGGTGGGCCGCGCATGCGCACACGCAGCCGTCTATGGCGGGGCTCACCCGCCACGCCGGTGCCGACCGCCCAGTCTACACGCCTCACGGCTACGGCTCCTCGTCGAGGGCCCCTGCCCCAGCCGTCCTCGACTCTGGGATCGCTGGGCTCCGGTGGTCCGCCGCCGTCGACAGTGGCGCTGCCGCCAGCAGCGACCCTGAAGTGCCGACGAAGGAGGAGGAGGCGCAGAGTTGCAAGATAGACCTGAACCTCAGGCTCTAGCTCAGCGTGAGCTCCATGTTGGGGAGCCCATACGGTACTAGTGATTTGCGCGCGCCATGCGCACGTAGACAACCATGTTCTAACCAGAATTTGCCACAAAATAGAGTAAGGAACATAAGGTCAATCGTCAAAGCAAATCTTTAAATGAATGCTGAGATGTTTGAATATTTCAAATATTTTACATGAGTTATAAAACACACGAACAATTGGGATGATGTGTAGCCTCCTAATGGCCAGAGGCCCTGCGGTTCTCTTGATCTTAAATGCTCTGTATTCGGCAGCATCAGTCTGAACAAGAATAGTCAGTCAGATAACACATACTTTTGAAACATAGCAATTGTGAACACATAAAGCCCTACGACAAAAATTACGGAGCAGCAGTCATTGCAGATATTTCAGTTCATTTCTATGATTATCTGGAATTACTTTTAAGTAGTTAAAACCGATAATCAACAGATGGCCAATAAAATATTTTTCTTCTTGTGCTATTATGCAGTTAGAGGTCAATTTCTATCTTAGCCAATAAAATATTTTTCTTCTCACTTTCTACTCGTCAAACTTACTATCTTAGCTTCAATGTGACATCAAAAGAACAGATATGATTGCTCCTATAGTTGGGACTGTTGTCTGGATAGTTGGCAAAAGTTTATTATTTTGAAGATAAAGAGCAGTATAACTATCAGCTCCATTATATCATAAATATTAAAATCAGGTTTCGCAAAATAAATAAATAAATCAGAATGCAGCGGATGGGTCAAAGCCATTCTGATGATTACAAAAAATGTGTGATCTTAGTAAGGACCAGTAATACAGTCTAACAGAAAAAAAAAGCAAATGACCTACAATGATTACAGCAGTATATAGTTCAGCCTTGGTGAAATTGTAACAGCGAATTAGAATAGCATCACAAAGTTTTCTCAAGTGCATGGGAGAACTGCATATCGTTGCATTAAGAACAAAGATCCAGGTAAAATACCCAATCAAAGCAGTAGAAAGCCAGCCACAAACTGAAAAAAATAAACGACGACTACTTCCAGCACTGAGCACGAACTCAACCCAATGCAAGCTGTGTCAAACCTTTGGCCTCAGACAGGGCCATAATAGAGAGTTTAGACTTATAAGATCACAAAGCTCGTAAGGTTTGGACCTTAATACCTAGAAACAGAAATGAAATGTTGCGAGCACAAAGTATTCATAGCTGATACCACGTCAAAAACAGCAGTCAGAGCATATAGGTACAGAATATGTACAACTGTGTAATATAGGATAATAAAGTCATAAAATAATAACATAAAAACAGAGAAGATACTGCAAATTGACTACAAGAATTAATCCAACTCTGATCAAGACCAGAGCACAATGACAAGTAGACAACCATTAGGTTTACTGGGTGGTTGTTATTATTGCGAACGAAATATTTACTTAAGGCTAAACACCATAGAAGTTAATCCTCAGAAACTTGGCCTAAGAGTCCAGAAATGAGTCGAGGATCAGCTGACTGCTGACCCAAGTTGTCACATACTACAAAGAAAAGAAGCCATTCCACAGATATAGCTTGAAATGACAGTAACGGAAAGTCCTAGTTTAGAGCAAACTCAGATCTGTCACCGCGCAATGTAGCCACTGCAACACTGCAGAGAGAACAGTATCTGTTAAAGAAGACACTTGTATCATAAAATGAAACGGAACGGGGAGCATTGTCTTCATGATGTAATTTGAAGCACGATTGTACAGGAAAAACCCTCTTACTTCAGGTCAAGGATCAGCTCAACGATCAGCACTGCAATATTTACATGGTGTCCAGTGGCCACAAAGCTTGTTACCTACCTACAAAGACACTAGATGAGGCTACTAGCATGCAAAACAATATTGTAATTGAGAAAGGGAAGGGGGGTTAAAGTTAAGGGGTATGTGGGTGGTGTGCGTGTACGCAGTTCTCCTGCGTATTCGAGAAAAAAAAGGGGAGGGGGGTTCACCTTCTATACAGCACTTTGATATCCTGGCGGATTGCTTTAGTATCCAATAGTTCGTCCCCAGAGTCATCAGTATCAACTTGACCAAGCTTGAAGTCTTCCGTAGTACAGTGATCACTCCATTCAAACCACAACTTCGGTATGACTTCTTTCTTGAATGCTGTCTCATGGACCTTTTCCTCATCAGAATCGGCAGCTACAAGCCTGTATACAAACACCTTCTTCCGCTGTCCGGGCCTGAATGCACGCCCATTCGCTTGACGGGTGACAGATGGGTTCAGGTGTACATCTAGAATGACAACTCTCGATGCACCGACGAGGGAGATGCCCTCTCCACATGCCTTGATAGAACCAAACAGAACTTTTGCATCAGCAGAGTTGTTAAAATGGTCCACTGCCACTTCTCTGTCTTCTTGACTAGTATCACCAGAGATCATAAAAATCTCTTTCCCCACATGCCAGCCCTTCATCTTAACCAGTAGCCTTTCAAAAAAAAACTCATTGACTGAAAGCAAGTACTTTCTCTCCTGCAGAATTAGCAAGTGACAGGATATTCATGAAAAAATTGGCCTTCACAACATCTTTCACATTGATAGAATCCTGCAGACTATCAACAAAATCATCTCTCAAGGTGTTAGCCCTGTTCTCAGCATTAACCTCTGAAAGTTGTGAAAGACAAGGATCAATGTACAGTGCACTCCCTACTGCATTTTTTTTAATCTATCATGAGTTTCCAACTTGTTGCAAATAATGTCTTTCTGCTTGGGTGTGAGCTTCAAAAACACGCTGAAATCTACTAAGCCAGGCAGTTCATCTAAGATATCACCCTTATAATAGTGAAGCACATCCTTTGTTAGTTCTCTAAGACCTCTAATAACATGTGCTTTTCTCTTGAAGTTTTCATCATTCAACAAGGTTCCTTCAACTGCCTCAGTGAATGCGGCATCAGCAAACCCTTTTGAACCTCTACCAGATATCTCAAATTGACTCATTATAAGTCTGGCAATAGGACAGGATGATTCCATCCTGAGAAACTTTGGACGAACAAGATTCAAGATATTAAATACTTCCTCAACGTGATTCTCGAAAAGTGTACCTGAAAGAACCACTTTGTGTGGTGTTTCCACTCCATTTAGCGATTCTAGTACATCAGTCTCCCGATTTCTATGTGTATGACCCTCGTCAAGTATCAGAAGGTTGGGAACCTTAAGCAGCCTGTCCCGACATGCAGCAGTGACGTTGCTGCCCCCATCATCAGTGACAATTGTGGAGAACTGCTTGTATCCAAGAAACAGTATACTCATCTTGTCTTCCCAAGATTTGAGGATTTGCAACTGTTCTACTCTTTTGTCAGCCTTAACAGAGTAGAAATCATACAATGGTATATCCTGCACTTGCCATCTTTGAATTTCTTTCTTCCATGTACCTAGTATCCCTTTGGGCAGCACAACAAGGGGCCTTGCAGATGGATACCTTGCCATAAAGCTCTGAATGAAGCTTATAAGCATAAATGTTTTCCCTGAACCTGGGGCATGAGCAAGAATGCAACCTCCAGGCTTGTCTCCAAACAAATTCTTAACCAAAAAGTTGAAACCTTCCAACTGATGCAGTTTCATTGTCTGAGCATGTCTAGGATGAATAGCAACATCTGCAATTATGAAATCTTCAGACAGTTTAACAGTACCACAGTCTATCTCATCAGCATCCTTAGAATGTCCTCCATAGCAATTTGTTTTTCTCCTTGAAGGCTGGGAAAAAAAGTAGTCATGATAATCACTCGCTTTCTCCAATTCTATTCAGACTTTACATGCATGAAGTTTGAACTTCATGATTATAATATAAAACTGAAGTTACTTTATGAAGTTGCCAAACAGTTGCTCCTGAGCCAATACTAGCATGTTGTATATTATGTCATAACTCATGTACATCTCGACAGTAAAGCCATAACATCGACGAAAGGACAGCCACTATATCATGCACAGTAACAACCATTACCCAAACAAGAGACAAAGGGTAAAATATCCCCGATTGCTAAATAGTAAACAGTAATAACCAGATCAAAGAGATAATAGCAACCCCCCCTAAGTTAGCAAGTTATTCAGGGGAGAAAAATAAAAAACACAAGCCCTCCTGTAGTCTCAGGCTTCCAGCAAAATGCCCTAATATCAAGGTTAATCTGCAAGCAAACATTTATTTAACAAACTATGAAAAAATACAGATTTTTTATTTTTTAGAGTTAAATCCCAATAGTTTTCTATTGTTTGATATTAGTTGGCATTGTCGACGATAATGGTTTTGATATTCTCGATAGTTTATATTCACAACCTTTCCATGTGCATACAAGGTGAGGATAACCAAATTATCAAGGCAGACTACAGAACTTGTGCATATCAAGTAGAATAGGAAGATAAGCTAACAAAGTGTTCAAAATTTAAAACTGTAAAGAGTATTGGAAGGACTAATGTGAACGAGTATGGAACTAGTGCATATCACATGAAATGAGCAGATAGCAGCTCTCCTGTGTTTTCGATAAAAGAAATGAGCAGATAGGCTAACAGCACAGGAGTTCAAAACTTGAAACTATAAGGTGCATGAAGTAGAACTAAAGAATTAAAATTAACTACCAGACATTTTGCCAAAAAAAAAAGAACACCCCAATTCGGTGACTGTGCTTAGAATTTTCACATGGCAAAAACTACATGCATGTATAAAAAAAAATCCTCATATATCTTAAACAAATTACAAACCTTTTTCCACTGATAATCAATTATTGAATCAGCTCTTCTCACAATCATACCACACACACGGCACACATGGCCCAAATCTTCATGAATCCGAATGTCATGATTGCAGTCGATGTCCTCCATCTTTCCATCACCTTCCTTTTCATTTGCCGCCTCATCAACTTCGTCAAGCTGGACCAATAAATATAACCAAACCACAAACAGTACAAACTGGTGACCAACAATTGAACTGAACAGTAAGGAATGCATTTTTGAACACTATAGCTAATGAATCTCAGTGCATTATTTAAACACTTAGCTCTTGTATAATGAGATACCCCCTTTTCTTGGGAATTATCATTTCACAATACAAGTCACAATTGTAATCAAGGTGTAGTCGTGCACGAAAATTAATTACCACAATACCAACAGCCACAAAGTTCTTGGGATCTTTTTGATAGACAATAGCCTAACAGGCTTAGATTCCTTGAATTGAGTTTATAGAAGAGATTACATATAAAAAGAGAGGAGGAGGGTGACCCAAAGGGCCAGCCGAGTCCCAAGAGGCCAGCCGAACCCCAAGGGGCCAGCTGGGCATTAACTCAACACAGCTAGCTAGGAGATTAAAGCTAGGAGATTACACAAGTAACTAGGTGATTAAAGTAAATGGCAATATTAATTCTAACACCCCCCGCAGTCAGATCGTTGGTGGAGCGAACGTTTAGACTGGAGCGAAAATCCATGAAGACAGAGGAAGGGAGCCCCATGGTGAAGACATCGGCGAATTGCGACGTGGTGGGCACATGAAGAACCCGGACTGCACCCATGGCAACACGTTCACGGACGAAGTGAAGGTCGATTTCCACGTGCTTGGTACGCTGATGTTGAACGGGGTTGGTGGAGAGGTAGCAGGCGCTGACATTGTCGCAGTAGATGAGGCATGCGGAGTCCAGGGGATGGTGAAGTTCCTAGAGCAGTTGCCGCAGCCAAGTGGCTTCAGCGACGCCGTTGGCAACAGCTCGGTACTCTGCCTCGGCGCTGGACCAGGAGACAGTGGGCTGCCGCTTGGAGGACCAGGAGACCAGGCTGCCCCCGAGGAAGACGGCGTAGCCGGAGGTGGAGCGGCGGGTGTCCGGGCAGCCGGCCCAATCAGCGTCGGTGTAGACACGGAGCTGTGTTGGGGCTATTCGGGGAATGACCAGACCATGGCTGAGGGTGCCCTGAAGATAGTGAAGGATCCGCTTGGCAGCGACAAGGTGAGTTTCCCGTGGATCATGCATATGAAGGCACACTTGTTGGACGGCATAGGCAATGTTGGGCCTGGTGAAGGTGAGGTACTGGAGGGCACCCACAAGGCTGCGATAAGCAGTGAGATCAGCAACAGACGGGCCAGCATCAGCTGGTACCTTTGCACAAGTGTCAACTGGAGTGGAGCAAGGCTTGCAGTCACTCATGCCATGGAGAGCAAGTATATCCAGAGTGTACTGACGCTGTGAAAGGAGAACAGAATCCCTGTGGCGCTGAACTGCAACGCCAAGGAAGTGATGTAGGGGTCCAAGATCTTTCATGGCGAACTCCTTTTTCAGAGCAGTAATGACACGGTGAAGGAGTTGCTGAGATGAAGCCGTAAGGACAATGTCATCGACATATAAGAGCAAGTAGACTGTCTCGGTGCCACGGCTGAATATGAAGAGAGATGTGTCTGACTTGGCTTCAGTGAACCCCAGAGAGATCAGAAAGGAGGCAAAGAGGCTATACCAGGCCCGCGGGGCTTGCTTCAAGCCGTAGAGGGATTTGTTGAGTCTACAGACATGATCTGGAAGTGCGGGATCAGCGAACCCAGTAGGCTGAGAGTAGTATACTATTTCTGAAAGAGTCCCATGGAGGAAAGCGTTCTTCACATCAAGTTGATGAATCGGCCAATCCCTGGAGTGTGCCACCGTGATGACTGTCCAAACGGTGGCTGGCTTGACAACCGGGCTGAAAGTTTCATCATAATCAACACCGGGGCATTGAGTGAATCCCCGAAGTACCCAATGAGCCTTGTATCTCTCCAATGAGCCATCGGCATGGAACTTGTGTTTGAAAATCCATTTTCCAGTAACAACATTGGCCTTGGTGGGACGGGGGATGAGGTCCCAGGTGTGGTTGTCCTGAAGAGCCGCATATTCATCTTCCATGGCCGGACGCCAATGAGGATCAGCAAGGGCATCTCGACAGGACCACGGTAGGGGAGACAAGGCCTCGGTATGCAAGGCGAGGCGAGGCTGCCGGTAGCCTGTTTTTCCACAGGTCGCCATGCCGTGGGAGTTGGCGACCGGCGGAATGGAAACAGCACCAGCAGGAACCGGAGGATCGCTCTTGACATAGCGAGGTGGAGAGGGGACCATGCTGGAACATCAAGGAGGCGCTCCTGCCAGGGGCTCGAGTGGCGGGGCAGGAGCAGGAGCATGCCTGCTGTAGACATGAATAATAGGTGGCTTCTGAGGCGCAATCACCGGGGGGAGCGCGTCGGCTGTAGATGTAACACCCTCGGTGTTTGGCTTCTACTAATTGCATGTCGTCTCATAAACATGTGCATCATCTATCTCATCATGTCATTTTCCCTGAAACATACATATGAAACATTCGCATATTCTGTTTGTTTCGTACTGGATTGCTTGTGAATGGTAGTAGTGCAACATATGAATGCAACATGAATTTCCCATGTCTTGAAGCATGGCAACATGGTAGTAATGTGACAAGTATAGTATAACAACAAGGTCATGCAACATGTGAAACCTTGTATTGAAACATATGTATGAATTGCTTGTTTTACTTTCTTTATCACATGTGATCAGTAGAAGTGGTATAACAACTTTGTAAAATGGTTGATCATGGTCTAATACACCTTAACTATACTTAGTTTACTTGTTGGAACATTGTTCATGTAGACCAAAATGACCAAAATGCCCTCAAGTGCAAGTTTGACTTAATTTGACCCATGGAGTGTCCTCGTTTGACTGATTCAAAAGTCCAACTTAGAAGCTTTGCATGGCTGTGCACCCTTTACAAAAGTTGTAGCTAATTTATCAAGGAACAAAAGTTGTTTTATGACCAACTCATGAAAATGGCTAGAACATGCTCAAACATGGCCCACAAGTTAGAAGTACATGATGATTTCATACTTAGCAAATTTTTCTAAGTCCTAAAGTGAAGTATAGTTTCGTGTACCCATGTTTGGAGCCGTGTATCTCCCTAACCGAGCCAAACCAGATCGAGCTCCAATGGAAAGAGTTGTAGTTCACATATAGATGATCAACTTTGTTAACTATGGCGTAGTCTAGATCATCACGGATTGGGAGTTAATCATCGTCAAACATGCTCTGTCAGGCGGTTCAATTCGACTGAATGCGCGCTACAGTGACTGACATTCATCAGACAACAGGCGCCGCGTGGGGGACACACGTCGCCGGGTCTCTGATTGCGCGGCCACGCGCCGTGGCTGGCCTGACGCCGCTGCCGTTGTCCTCCACTTCAAGCCAGCGCCTGCCCGACCGAGTCGCCAATCCATTTTTCATCTCGCCTCTCACAGCGCTGAGCCAACGCCGTCCGCCATTGCCGACCAAGCATCACTGTGCTGTGCGAGCTCGCCACTGCAAAAATGCGCCGGCCGTCCCGCTCGTAGCCTCGCCGTGATCCCCTCTGCCACCCCCACCCCTCAGCCAGGTCGATTGTGACTTGGTAAGGACGAATTCGTCATTCCCTTCCACCGCCGCCGTGGCTGTTCTCGCCGGAGATGACGCTCCATGCGGCCAGCTCTCCTCGCGCCTTTGCTACCCCTCCTCTGCCTTGAGCTAGGTCCGGTGAACCCTACTGAAGCCCGTAGAGCCACCCGTTAGGGCCGCGACGCCGTAGCGTCGTCGGAGCCGGCCGTGCCATGGCCGAGCGCCGTCGTGGCCATCGCCACCCCTCCTTGTCGCGTCGATAGCTACGAATGAGGGTTCCCCTAGGTCTGCTAGGATGAGGCGAGCACGTAGAAACCCTTGCCTTCGCCGGAGAAGCCACCGGCGGCGAGCTACGCCACCGGCCGTCGCTCCTCCCCTGTTTCCCTCGCTGACGCGCGGGTCCTCCCTGTCAGCGTCGCTGCTGAGGCGGGAGCCCAGCGTGGGCCGCGTGTGTTGGGCCGCGGGCGCCGCGTCTTGGGCCGCGTCGGTGTGCTCGCGGGCCGCTGTTCCGTCGGGCCGGTCCAACAGCTGTGGATGCATTTTGATTCTTATTTGTTTGCTTTATTATTTCACCGAATTGTGTTGTTATTCAAAAATATGTAGCTCCTAGTATATAGATTCAATTGATGTGGTTCTAATTTTGTTAAGTTCCTGGTCATGTCTAGTATTTAACAAAAATATTATATGAGCACATGTTTTAGAAAATTTTGATGAATTAATTAGGACTTTGAAATGTGTTTTTGGATACATGCAAACTTGTTTGAATTTTATCTTGAGTTTCTGTGGTCCAAAAATTATGAATTTTTGTGGGCAGCCTGTTATTGCTTATTAGAAGCTCTGGTAAAAAGTTTAGAACTAATGCATGTGTAGTTTTTAAGTTATAGAATTTCCTTTTATTAATGGGTGGATCTTGTGTGAATTTTCATAATTTTTCTATAGATCCAGTGAAGGTGAAATTTTATGGGTGCTATTCTTATGCTAGAAGGATGCTAGGAAAAATGGGAAAATCTGTTGATTGACACTTTTTAATAAGGTTTCCTAATTATGCTAGAAATAGACATGTCATCTGTTATTTTGGATACAGCAAGTTATGTTGGTCCAATGGCTTTGAAATTTTTATGGTAGTCTATGTGCAGCATGAGATAGCTACTGTAATTTTTGTAGATTTTTATGAATAGTTTTACTATATATTGCTTAAATCACCTAATTAACTAAATAAATTGGAAAAGGATATTAAATAATTTATTTAGAAGTTAGCACTATACTTTCTGATGTTTCTTAGGTATGAAAAACAAGTTGGTAAACTTGGTTTGGTCAAATTAGGCTTTTGCACCATCATTAAATAATTAAGTTAGCAACCCTGTCATTGCGGGACAGATTCTAGGTCTACTGGAATTGGATTTGGTCAACTTCAGAATCATGCTTTGATGTTTACAAATGAATTGTAGAGAATTTCATAAGCTTTCCAGAATGTCCTCTTGCAAGTCATTTGGAGTTATAGAACTCTGGTTATGATAGAATTAAGTTACTACTTGTTGCATATGAAGCTTTAACTGTTATTTTAAGTATGTCTTTACTATTCTAAGTTCATGGTACTGTTCCTAGGTGTTAGGCCTTTAACTGAAGATGAGCATCTTTATCTTAGGTTATGCAAGTTAGGTAAGTTGCTCTTGTTATTTAAGTTAAGTTGGATACATGCTTAAAGTGATTTGAATAGAGCTAATTACTCGGTAAACGAGTGTCCAGTGATGTTTTCATAAACACCCATTGTGATTCATTCATCATGAGCATCATGTCATTCCTTATGCATCCATGATATTTATCTTGTGCCGGCATGCAATAGGTGTATACGGAAGGAGTAACCCTGCTGGAATTGAGGAACTGAGCGAGC